TAGTTCATCACCAATGACATGCCAATTCTTCTTTGAAAAAATTGTGCACTAAAGCCATCTGGGCTTGGAGCTTTACCATCCTTCATAATAAACATAGCATGTTTAATCTCTTCAGCTGACACACTAGCTTGGAGAAAGTCGAATTGATCACTAGTGATGGTTTTAGCATTTATCTGTTGCAGCTTGCCCTTCAAATCAGGGCACTAGGAGTTAGATTTACTGAACTCCTAGTGAGCGTCCTCACAATATTATTATGCATTTTAATACGGACGATACCCTTACCAACAATATCACGAACGACATTATTACTCATCAAAACAATATTTCCTTCATTAGTGAAGGAAAATATTTCCTTCATTCTCATAAACTATAATACAAGATTCGGCAGTTTCTGTATTTTTCTTACCAGGTTTCCTCTTTTATTTTAATCTTTTCAATTTAAAGCAATTTACCTTAATGTGCCCCATTTTGTGACAATAATTGCATTCCAAATTTCTATGTCAGAATTTAGATATACTATTGTCAAATTTTCTTTTATCGGTTCTGTCCCTGACAGCCAAGTCTTCCTTCTAACTTCCATTAATTTCTCCAATAATATCCCCATCAATCTGCTCCTTAGATTTTAAGGCAAATTTAATTTTCCAATACGAAATTATTTTTTTCATAAATTATAGTATGGTGAAAATATTTAAAAGATTGGGGAAGGAAATACAAAAGTAACAAGGCCTGATCCTCATGGTCAATTTTCAAATATATATTATCCAAATCTAGAATAATGGAAATAAATTTATCAATATGTGAGAGTATATATGTACTTTCAGGTATGTGAAGCATATACAGACTTTGCTTTAAATAAAGCCGATTGTCAATTGTCTTATTCATGTATAAGGCCTTAAACTTGTCCCACATGTCCTTTGCCGAAGTTTCAGTGGCTACCTCCCTCAAAATCTCATTAGAGAGATTTAAGATAATACTGGACCTTACTTTCTTATCTATTTCGGCAAAATTTGCATTTGTCACACTTTTTGACTTTTTCTTAATTCCTTGTGTTGCTAAATCAATTTCGACTCTCCATCTTGAGCTACCACATCGCGAAATTTACATTCCTGTCGAATTGCTTGACAACAATCTTTGTTATTATAATATTGCCACAGAATTCAAAACTTTTGAAGAAGTTTTGATATCAGCTTGTTAGGTCTAACCCCAGAACATCGACGAAAGAATTTTTGGCAATCCCAAAACAAATAATAAAGCAAAAATAAATAAAACAGAAGCACAGAAATTTACGTGATTCGAGAGCAAAATTTCACCCATGATAGAACTACTTTTGACAGCAATTTTTTCTCAGAATGTATTATACAAATTTGTAATTTACTATGCCAAAAATTATCTTAAAAGTTTGGAGGACTATTGTCATCCAATTGACGTTGACTAACTGCCTGCCTTCCAGTCACAAACTGACAACAGATACTAATCACAAACTTGATTACAAATCACAAACTTGATTACAAATCACAAACTTGACATCAGACACTTTTTTTTTTTTTTTTTATAAGAGAACGTGAGGAACGTGAGGAGCAAACCATATCGAAATCAAAATAACACAATACTAAATCAATTTCATTGGGTGAAGCAACCTCTTAAGTACTGTTCATTCTGGGAATCAAGATTTTAAAAGTCAAGATATCCTCGAATTCTTGGATAAGATCAACAGTATTGGTCATCACCCTTCCGTGTATGCTTTCTCATCCATGTTTCTAGTAACCTCATTTTCGTTCCTCTGTGATGACAAGCTGTTCTAGAAATAATAATCATTTGACCACATGATTAAAAATCACTAATGCGTCGCCATATAAAGTAATCTCTGATAGGCTGCAATTTATCGTTTATTTTATAATTAATTTTTTTTATTACCTGATTCAATGTGAATTAATTATTAGATTCTACTCACTTTTAAAAATTTATACTTTTTATAAGGAGTAAAATAAAAATATTATAATAAGTGTCAATTTAACAATCATAAAAAAAGTGTTCAAGTAGCAAGCATTCAGGAATATTTTTGAAATATCAAGTATCGGTCCTCCTTGATAATTTGGCCGATGACAGCATTTAAAAGAAAGGGCTGGAGTCTTCTTCTGCTGGCTGGGGGCCGCTGCACAAGATATAGGCATTAGAGTAGGACTTTGATAGAGATTAGATAGGGGAGGACTTTTCTCTTTTAGCTTAGTTTTTTTTTTTTTAAACTTTTCCCTTGGATTTCTTTTTGGTTTTTGTCCTTCCTACGCATGTCAGAGGACTGGAGCCTAGCTTTTGACTTTTCCTTGTTAGCTTTATAATAGCTTTTCTCTTCGTATGTTGGAGACAAGCGAAACCCAATTGATAACGTCCTGTATCTTGCTTTCCTTCTTGATTGGAACGAATTGAACTCTCAGGAATCAGCGACAATGGCCGCAACTACTTCTGCAATTGTGTGTGGGTTTTTCATATTAAAGATGAACTAATTTCTTTACTCTAGTCAAGGAGCAACGGAGGCTTTGATTCGCCTAAAAATTGTGAAATTGATTTAATTTTGTCTTTTTTGATTATTTATTGATATTCGCATATTTTTTTATTGCAGTATTTATGATTGATTGTTTTGGATCCAAATAATTAGTTAATTTGGTAATCTAGTATCAATTAGGGCATTAAATCCGTAATTATTTAATTGTCTTGAAATAGTGACAACTGGCATAATTGGGTTTGTATCAGGAAAATACACGGGTAAATTTAAAATAACCTTGATAGTGCGTTATTTGGTTAGAATATGGCTCCTCTAATACGTAAGGCAATTGGAGAATTAAATCTTATAGGCGTACCTAAGATTATTTCTCAATTAGAACAGTGATTAACGGGCGTACCTTAGTCACCGACATAGTAAGGAAGGATTGACTGTCATCGCTTGTTTGGCAGTTATAACCTATTTATTAATAAATAATTAGAATTGCATGTGCATCGATGATCAATTAGGTGAACCATTGCTGAAGTTATTTCTTGGCTAGACCTTTAATTATTATTACCTTGATTTTAGTGAATTATCATTTAATTTTTAGTTGACTATTTTATTTTTAGTTGAATTGTTTTAAATGTCATCCTCTATACAAAAACACCCCCTGTGTTACTTTGGATTTCTAAAGAGACAAATACACTCAATCCCTGAGGATACGACCCTACTTGTCTTGTTTACAAATTAATAATTATTTGTGTAAGAGTCATCACATTCGGGTATATCGGATCAAGCAAACTCTTCGGGAACAAAATGAATCAAGTAACCTATAGCACACTTAAAGTCCCTATTCCAGTACTTAAAATTGGGTTTTGACTATTTTAATTAACAATTAGGTTTTTTTTTATTATTGTATACACTTTGACAACCTGTCAATCTCTCACCAACTTACCTTTGTTTGACAAGTACCATTTATTTCCTATCCATTCTAATTTTGTGATTTGGTTTGACCGACGAGTGCTCAAAGGGTACTCGTTAAAAGAAGTTCAAATGTTAGTTTTTTGAAAAAATGTAATTTATTTGTAAAAGCATCACAATTCGAGATGTGCAATATATGTGAGCATGCGTATTTACATAGCAACTTAGGCGTGCCCATTAGTAAAACTTTTCGTAATTGAGCCTGTATTTAGGTCTTGTTTAATAATTCAATTCAGCACTTAAATTTAATAAATTTAAAGAATTATCCCCACATAACGAGAGCAAAATGTAGTTTATTTGCAAAAGCGTCACAATTCGAGATGTCCAGTATATGTGAGTATGTGTATTTACATAGTAACTTAGGGGTGCCCATTAGGAAAACTTTTCGTAACTGAGCCTGTATTTAGGTCTTGTTTAATAGCTTAATTCAGTATTTAAATTTAATAGATTTAAAGAATTATCCTTACATAACGAGAGCAAAATTTCATCCATGATAAGGCTACTTTCGACAGGGATTTTTGGTCAGAATATATTATAGAAATTTGTAATTTACCATCGAGAGCAAAATTTCACCCATGATAGAACTACTTTTGAAAGCAATTTTTTCTCAGAATGTATTATACAAATTTGGAATATACTATGCCAAAAATTATCTTAAAAGTTCGGAGGACTATTGTCATCCAATTGACGTTGACTAACTGGCAACAGATACTAAATCACAAACTTGATTACGAATCACAAACTTGACCACAGATACTTGTTTTTTTTTTTTTATAAGAGAACGTGAGGAGCTAACCATATCGAAATCAAAATAACACAATACTAAATCAATTTCATTGGGCGAAGCAACCTCTTAAGTACTGTTCTTTCTGGGAATCAAGATTTTAAAAGTCAAGATATCCTCGAATTCTTGGATAAGATCAACAGTATTGGTCATCACCCTTCCGTGTATGCTTTCTCATCCATGTTTCTAGTAACCTCATTTTCGCTCCTCTGTGATGACAAGCTGTTCTGGAAATAATAATCATTTGACCACATGATTAAAAATCACTAATGCATTGCCATATAAAGTAATATCTCACCATCTTACCTTCATTTGATAATTACATTTTATTTCCTTACCATTCTAATTTGTAATTCGATTTGACTAATGAGTATTCAATGGACACTCGTTAAAAGAAATTCGTATTAGTTTTTTGAAAAAAATATAGTTTATTTGTAAAAATATAGCAATTCGAGATGTGTAATATAAGTGTGTATGCGTATTTATATAGCAATTTAGGTGTGGTCATTAGCAAAACTTTTCCTAATTAAGCCTTTACTTAGTAACTGGCATTTCTAGCTAGCCAAAATATTGCGTGCCATTAAAAAATTCTTCAAAGGGCGGTGTGCCTTTTCACACTGACCTTATCAAGGACGCGTCCCATGCTGGTCGACCGTGACTTTGGTGATTAGGTCGGACAAGTCAAATGAATTTACTTATGGGGTACGTCACCGCATTTTTTGGCCTATAAATACGAGGACTCTGGTTCGTTATTTTGATATGCTAAACTCAGCAACCAAGTTTTCGACAGTCACAACCAGTTACAAGTATCCATTTTCATTCTTATTAATTAGCTAGCTAGTTCTCCAAGGGAAAAAATGGCTGAAGCCAAATCTGCTACTGTCACTGATCAGGTGAATAGTGATTCTATTGCCTAGCCATACCTAGATTTCCTTCTTTTTCAAGTTTGTGTGTGGTTTTGAGAATCAACTCATAAACAACTTGTATTTCGAAAAGTATGAGGAGTTGCAAATTAAAGTAATAGCAACGTTCTTGAATTGTCTTAAGCAATATTTTACATTTCTAGTTGTCTCCATACATATGGGTAGGCGGTCTCTTGAATTGTTTGATTAAGCTTCTTCTGAGTGATGTAGTTACTGACTGACTGATCGGATTTAGTCTTCTAATTGTTTGTTTATTTGAAAGGATTCTAATTGATTTTGGGAACTCAATTGTTTTGCGATTTTCTCACTGGTTAAAATGTTTGGGATTTACAGATCGACATCAACTCAATACAACCAGTGGCGCCGGCTGACCCTCACGTGGTCGGGATCGGACAATTTGTAGTGGAAAAATTTCACCACGGCAAGCTGCTTTTCATCGCCGTGATTGGCGGGTTCACTTGGAAATGTGAAGGAGGCAAGTACTACGCACTTATCATTCAAAATCAGGATTATGAGGGCGCCACATTTATCCATAAAGCACTCGTTGTTGAGGCCAAAGGTGAAACCAAACTCCTCTGGCACAGGAATTAATCAAGCACTACTATTGATCAGCTGAGGATAAACGACTTTCTTTGGGTACTTAAATTATCTAGTGTCTATATATGGTGTGGGTTTTCAGTTTGTGCATGGATGATGTACTGCTACCAACAAAATGCACCATTCCGTCTATTTTTTTAATTTGTATCCTTGTAATAACCTGTAAAACGAACAAAAGTGTAGCATTAAATGAATAAAAACAATCGTCTGTTTTTGAGTTTTATCTGTATATTTTGTTTCTCTGTTACTTCCAAGCAAGTTCCGATCCCGGAATTTGTATGTCAACTACGTACTATGTTCATGACTAGTTATAAAGTTTTACTGGTTAAGTAATAAAGCCTATAAAAGATTAATTGATATATTGAGAATACGAAATGCGGAAAAGTTTTAAGTTTTTTCAAGTGGTACTCGTTCTTCTTTGAAGCATATTTTGGATGTTCTTCATAAGTACGAAAACTGTTCAGGCCAGCAAGTTAACATAAGCAATAGTTGTTTCTTGACCCGTCAACGGTTTAACGTGGCACGACGACGAATAAACACAAGTGTTACGGGGTTTTCTTGTCAAGTTTTTGGGTTGTCCGTAGGAAAATTTCCTTTTTTCGACATCATTTCAGGCCATTGCGGCTCAGATTCTCTCTTGGAAGAGTAAATTCCTTTCTCATGGTGGCAAGCTGCTCTGGATCAAGCACATGCTTTCATCCACTCCTATTCATGTCCTAGCTGCTGCCAATCCTCCTAAATCTGTTTTTAATACGATAGAATCTATTTGTGGTAGATTTTTTCTGGGGTTCGTCAGAGGAGCAAAGGAACATGCGGGTTTCTATCTCGGAATGGTCCTAGCTAGTTCATTGATCCAGGTCCCAGAGTAGAGCTCTCTGGTCCTGCCATCACCAAACTAAGAACATGTTTCCTTGAAACGCCCATAGAGAATGCTTTCTAGGACCAACCAAAAATGATAGTAATAACAGTAAATGTACCTCCATTTAGCCATAAAACACGAGGCTTGTTAGAAGGATTTTCGGACTCCGCAAAATAGCAGAAGAGAGCTTTACCAGTCTTCGGATCAACAGTAACATACCCTGAATATTGATCAAACTTTAACCCTTTTGGTTGCCTCGGCAACGCTATTACTTTGTCAGCCGCCTTCCAAACCCTCTTGAGGACCAATATATATATTGGCGTGTTCTCATGTCCTGAATCCTCATCATTTACGTAATTGTCTACTTGAGGGGCGTCGAAACCACCAAAAATAAAATTCGTACTCCAAAAAGATATGCTTTTGAGTACAATGGTGAGTGGAGTCAAAAACTAATAATGTAAAATTAAATAAAAATAATTCAATAAAAGATAAATCTCTGGTCAAAAATCTAACACCACTTTGGTTCAATTAACTAATCATTGATGCATGGATAAAATCATTTATTTATAAATAAATTAGTTATGGTTGTCAACAAATTTTAAGAACCTGCCTACCTCTCCTTGCTACCCTCGATAACCACAACAAATTTTGTGATTATTACTCTTGCCAATTAAACAACCCTAGACAAACTTTTAGGATTTAACATATTGACAATATTAATTATTACAAAAGCTACCCATTTGATAACATTAATTATTACAAAAGTTCCCAGTTCTAACCAATAAACACATAAGTTCCGTTTATTTAGATTCGATTATATATTTTCGTGACCTATATTTGAAAATTTTTACTACAATCAAATTATATCGCTTGCCATAAATACTAAAACCATCAAATAATCATAGATTTGATGATTTAGATGCAATATAGTGTTTCAATAATTAAATAATGGCCAATTATTTAATCATATAAAATAATCATATCAGGAACTTGAGAAGTTCGGTAAAATTTTCATTCCCTCAAAGGTTCAAGCCAAATAAATTTGATAGGGATTTTGAGAAGTTTGCTAAAATTTTTAAGCAATTGCGTATTAATATCCTTTTTGCCGATGTTATTTTCAGATTCCTTCGTATGAAAAATTTCTCAAGGAGATCATGATTCGAAAGAGAAAATTGGAGGATTGTGAAGCAATAGCATTAACGGAGAAGTGCAGTGCCATCATACAAAATAAGCTACCACCAAAATTGAAGGATCCAGGGAATTTCTTTATATCATGCATGTGAGGACCAGAAAATTTTTTTTTTTTAAATTTTCTCCTATTTTTGAAAAAAATTAATTTATATTTCCTTTTATTTTACTTTACTTGCTTATTTGCTAGTCTTAATTTGATAGTGATTTTAAAGGTTAAGTTAAAATTTTTCTTTTTTCCCTTTTTATAATCTTGATGCATGTTAAATTTCATAAAGTATTATGGTAGTTTAACCGACTAGTGAGATGTGCACATTATATTTGGTGGACGAGAATAGTGTGGTGCTAGAGGAATTATGTGATTAGAAGTGTTAAGAATGTATTAGAAGAACACAAGATAGATTGGTTATTAGAGAAACATAAGAGAGACAAAAGGATAGACATGAAACCAAGCCTCGACAAGTGTCGTGCATCCATGACGTCTTGACCAAGACTTGGACCAAGAGAAGTCTTGTGTTTATCTTCCAAAATTGACTCAAAAACCTTCACTTTCTTCTTCATTGTGGCCGAACTTAAGGAGAGAGAGAAGAGAGCAAACTTTCAAAAATCCTCTTGATTTCCTTGCTTAATTTGTGAAAAAATCCATGATCAACCCTAATTTACTCCATAAAACCTTGAGTTAATCTTGGAATGAAACTTTTGGTGGAATCATTTGAGGAAAAAAGTTCTTATCTTACAATTTATCGTGGGATTTTGAGGTATTATACTAAGAACCTCTCTTTTTCCTTCTTATTTTGCCATTTAAGCAACATATAACTTGATTAGGATGGATTTCATAGAAGAATTCATGGTTTTGCTTAATAGGTTGCAATTTTCAGCTTTGGAATATGTTGTTCAGCCGTGATATGAATGGTTTAGCTTTGATATGAGGTTGGATATGAAATTTTAGCTTTGATATGAGGTTATCTAGCTTCAATATTCGAATTTCCAGCTTTGGTGTTAATTTCCAGCTTTGATTTTGTATTTTCCAGCCTTGAGTTGAGAGTTTCCAGCTTTGATGTGGACTTATGAGTTTGGATATGAAGATATCTAACTTGAACATGCACTTCTAGCTTTGTTATATGATTTTTCTAGCTTTAATGGTCAATTTCCAGCTTTGAGATGAAAATTTTCTGCTTTGGTGTAAGTGATTTGGAGCTTGATATATATCTTCAAAGTTGATAGTTTTGTGGCCTAAAGTATGCACTATTTGTCCCCTATAATATGTGGCCTTGATTGAGGTTCATTTACCATGAAACTAGGATTTGAATGGATGGTTAACTTGAAGAAATTTGGGGACATATTGCTGGATTTTCTTTTTGTTGGTCATTTTGGGGACCTAAATTTGGGGACATAAATTTAGGGCATTTTTGTTTTCCTCTTGCATATGATTTTACTCAAAACACTTGCTACAATCTATTTCTTTGCATGTGCGTTAGTTTTGAGCCAAGACAAGAGGTTTAAATGAAAGGAAATGAGTTTTATTAAATCATTTTCTAGTTGGACAAATCCCAACTTGGCACCTTGAAAGTCTTGACATAATTTCCTCAAACTTTTGACTATAATCGATGCTTGTGTGCTCCAAATGACTCTTGAAACATGGATTTAGTATGCACACGAGGTTTTCCCCTTAATTTGAGCAAGAAAATGTTAAATTTTTTAGTAGTTATACGGGGATAAAACTTGTGAACTAGTGTATTTTCTAAATGAAGTTTTGAACCCTCAATTTCTTCATTGTATTTTGACTTTGTTTACTAGTCTTTTAATATAGTGTATGACTATAGGACTCGAATGTTAAATGGATTTTCAATAGGTGAGTGTGTACTTTATCACACTTGACCCAAAGTGAAAGTGGATTTTCAATGATTGAATGTTATTTGTGCATGAATGTAAGCCTTTGACTGAATTAGGCCCTTGCCCTTCATTGCCAGTCGACTCGAGCCAGAAGCAGACTCGGTCGGGTGGCTAGTGACCCTAGGACAGTGTTTGGTATACTCAAGTATGATCACGAAGTTGGATGGAGTCCTAGCCAGTGAATGCAATGCAATGATTGAAATGAATGATTGAATGAAATGAACACTGAAGGAGTTTTCACTTTCAAATATTTTTGAATATTGGAGGGATAAGGGAAATGGATGACGAATGAATGACTGAATGAATGGCTCAAGTGAGTAGTATCCTTTCAATGATTGTTTCTTGAATAACTATTTATTATCGTGCAAAGTGTATAATTGTCAATTGTAGCATTTCTGTGCTTTATCTACCTAACTGCTTGTTTGGGAACTTCACTGGGTTTTTTGCTCATTCTATTAGTTTGTTTTTCTTTTAGGAGTGGAGGCCGGAGCAAGTAAGCGTGAACTAGTGTATATCATCTTCATGTACTAGTGTGTATAATTTTCATGTACTAGTGTGTAGATGAAATGTATTTGGGATATTTAGTAATGTAATCCTATATTTCACTTTTAGATTGTAAATTAAGTGAGAATTATTAGTTGAATTGGGAACTTTTATGTTAATCTAGAGACGTGAAAGACTATTTCAAGAATGTTAGTGAGTGAGTCCTGATGAGAGTGAGACAGGCGGTCCGCCCAACTCTTGGATTCGTCCTAGGGAGAGGTGGAGTCGTCACAATGCACTATTGATAACATTGATTTTTTTAAAGTATTATGTAACCTTGGTGCTAGTGTATCAGTAATTCCTTTAAGAGTGGTTAGACAATTAGATTTACATGAGTTTAAAAGTACTAATATTACTTTGCAGTTAACTGATAGGTCTATTAAATATCTATTGAAAGTGTTGGAGAATGTATTAATTAAAGTATAAAAGTTATCGTCTTTATGAATTTTGAGGTATTAGATATGAAAAAAAAATGTCTATATCAATTATTCTTGGTAGACCATTTTTAGCAGTTGCAGGTACTATTAATGATGTTAAAAATGACAAATTTAAGTTTCAAATATGTAAAGAAGAGGTAGAATTTAATTTGAATGAAATAAAAAAAATACCATTTTTTTACTGATCATACTTGTTCTATTGGCACAATTGATAAGTTAGTCAAAGAGTTGAGTCGAGTGAACTGTGATTTCGACCCTTTTGAGATTTGTTTGATGAGTTTAAAAATGCAAGAGGGAGACTGTGAAGAAATTAAAGAATTGGCTAAATATTTAGATTTTCAAACAGCTTATAAATGGGATAATGTTTATGAAAATCTTGATCAAAGAAAAGAGCCCCCACTATCCTCAGAGATTGAAGTTCCAAAATTAGAACTCAAGTCGCTCCCAAATCATTTATGGTATGAGTTTTTTGGAGAAAATAGCACTCTACCGATAATTATTAGTGCTCACTTAGATGAAGAACAATGTACAAAATTGTTAAGGATTCTAAGAAAACACAAGAAGTCAGTTGGACAGACAATTTCGGATATCAAAGATACAAGTCATTATATATGCATGCACCGCATATTATTAGAAAAAAATCACACACTGGTGGTGGAAATGCAAAGAAGGCTCAATCCAAATATGAAAGAGATGTAAGAAATAAAATTCTCAAACGGCTTGATTCAGGTATAATCTTTTTTTTCTCTAATAGTATTTGGATAAGTCCAAATCATATTGTCCCTAAAAAGGATGGAAACACTGTAGTCATAGGTAAAAATGATAAAATGATTCCATCTCAATTCATGAATTGGTGGAGAGTGTGTATAGATTATAGAAAATTAAATGTAGTTTCTAGAAAAAATCACTTTTCCGTACCCTTTTTTGACCAATTATTTGAGCGAATAGCCGGTTATGAATTTTACTGTTTTTCTAATGACTTTTCAGATTATAACCAAATAGCTATAATTTCCAAGGATCAAGAGAATACCACATTTACTTACCCTTATGGTACCTTTGCCTTTAGAAAGATGCCATTTGATCTATGTAAAATCCCTGCTACGTTTCAACGTTACATGGTGGCCATAGTTTCTAATTACATTAAGAAAATTATGGAGATATTTATGGATGATTTTTTGGTATTTGGTTCATCTTTTGGTCATTATATTCATAATTTAGATTTGATTTTACAGAGATGTGAGGAGACAAATCTTGTGCTAAATTAGGAGAAATGCTATTTTATGGTTCGAGAAAAAATTGTCAGAATCAGATAAAGATAATAATGACGAAATTGTAACCAAACCCGTGATAGTAGATCCCTACGAAACATATAAACTACCAAATCTGCAAACTTTTATTACAATAAGAGCGCCTTTAGAAACCTTCATAACGTTATTTTTAGTTGTGTATGTGCACCCAAGAATCTCCAGAGTGTCCAAAGAAATGAGATTCTTTTTCAAATCAAGAACATGTCTAATATTAGTGAGCGTTCTCAAAACACCATCATGTATTTTAATTCAAACTGTACCCTTACCAACAACATCACAAATGACATTATTGCCCATGAAAACAATTCCACCATCACAAGATTCATAAGTGAAAAATAAATCCCCATTGGGACATATGTGATAAGAGTACCCCGAATCTAAAATTCATTCATTTTTAAACCTTGTCCTATCATCAGTCACAAAATATTTATTTTATTCTCATCAACTGCAGCACAAGTTTCGACAGTTTAGGTACTTTTTTTCACTAGGTTTCCCCTTTTACTTTAATCTTTTCAATTTAAAGTAATTTGCATTAATGTGTCTCATTTTGTGATAATAATTGCATTCTAAATTTTTGTGTCTGGGTTTAGATCTAAATTTAGATCTATTACTGTCAAATGTTTTTTATTGGTTCTGCCCCTAACAACCAGACTTTCCCCATGATTCCCAAATTTCTTCAATAATATCCTTGTCTACCTGTTCCTTAGATTTTAATGCAAATTTAATTTTACGATACGAAATTGTTTCTTTTCCATAAATCATAGTATTGTAAAAATATTTAAAAGTGGGAAAGGAAATACAAAAGTAGCAACGCCTAATTTTTAACATCAATTTCAAATCTATATTCTCCAAATTCATAATAATTGAATCAAATTTATCAAGATGTGAGAGTATAGATGTACTTTCAGTCATGCGAAACATATACAAACTTTGTTTTAAATAAAACCGATTCTCAACTGTTTTCTTCATGTACAAAGCCTTAAACTTATCCCACGTGTCCTTTACCGAAATTTCAGTGGTTATCTCCCGCAAAACCTCATCAAAGAGATTTAAGATAATACTGGATCTTGCCTTCTTATCTATTTTAGCAAAATTTGTATCTGTCACACTCTTTGACTTTTTATCAATTTCTTGTATTTCTAAATCAATTCCGTCTTGAACCAAAATGCTCTCTATCTTGAGCTGTCGTATCCCAAAATTGACATTCCTGTCAAATTTTTTGACAATAATCTTTGTTATTATCATTGTTGCCACAAAATTTAAACCTTCCGAAGAAGTTTTGATATTAGTTTGTTAGGTCTGGATCCAGAAAATTGACTATAGGATTTTTGGCAATTCTAAAAGACAAATAACAAAGAAAAATAAATAAAACAGGAATACAGAAAATTTATATGATTCGGTCAAATAGATCTACGTTCACGGGTGGAGCAAGAACAAAATTTTACTATGAATAACATATTACAAAAATGTTTTAGACAAGCATTTTTAAATCCAAAACACCTAATACTTGAAACACAAAAGAACCCAAAAATATTTTATTAAACAAAAAGATTTAATGATTCAAAGGCCCAAAATAACTCACTAAAACTCTCTTAATTTGATGCATCTAATTCCATCACAGGTTCATTATATTTATAGGCAGTTAAAGGAAAGACTCCCTTGTACAAAAGACAGTTGGAACAAAGTCACTTTAACATTTTTTTTTTTTTATCAAAAATGCAGAATTGGCAACAACAATAATTACAGTCACGCTTTGTACTTTCTTACCTGCCCTTACTGTACATTTTTCTACAATGCATGTTTGACGGTTGACATTTTTTTTTTCAACAAAATAGCATTTTATCGATCTGAGCAAAGCCGTACAGAATGTACTTATTCCCTCAAACATATCAAACGTGTAAAACCTTATCACTGCTGATAGGACGTTAATTGTTAGTAATTTTATAGCTATTTTTCCCCTTTATTCTTGTTAAATATATTTTTAATTGTTAACATATACTTATTTTTGGTATTTGGACCTATCTACAGAAAGTGAAACTGACAATTGCTAAAAAGGGGATTTTATTGAGAAAAATCCTCCACATGCTAGAGCCTCCAGCGGATATACATGTTAGGCCCACATGGTGCTACAAAAATTCCATTTTCGGTTGCTGATTAGGAGTTGAAGTCTTTGAGAAGCAAGAGGAAACGAAGAGAGCAAAATTCGACGGAGCTTACTTTTGGGAATTGGACTCTCAATTTGTTCGGGGACCACGGAGATAAGAGGCACTAGCCATTGTTTTAAGAAGAAAGAACGTACAGAGGGTCGAGGGCAATAGTTTTAGGATAGTTTTTAGAGCTTAGTTTTTAGGATAGTTTTTAGTTTTCTTTCTTTTCTTGTCAGGCGCACGTTTACTGTTCGACAATATTTTCTAAAGGGAAAAACATCTTTTATTTCTCGTTTCTTAGTGAACAACTTGATGCCTTTGCAATCAATTAATTTGCGTGGAGATTTATTTATGCGGCGTGGTTAAGCATTTCATCTAGTCAAGGATCAACTCGACGGCGCAGTCCCGAATACCTGTGAGATTTAATTAGTTTTCACGCGTTCCTTAATTTGTTAATATTTGCACATTGTCTATTTGAATTTTCGTGGGATTATTTTGTTAATTGGATATCAAGGCCCCGATGTTCAATGTAACTTATTAATCTCTTGCCAATTTAGTCAATTAAATCTGTAATTGTTTGATTGATTAATATTAGAGGCAACTGGCGTGTTTACATACTAGGGGAACGTGCAATCTAATTTAAATAACCCTCGTAGCGTGTTATTGATTGGGGTTAGATTTTTCTAGTTATTAATGCAATTGGGAAATTAATTCCTACAGTCGTATCTAGGAGTATTTTCTGATTAGGGGTAATCAATGGTCATACCTTAGTTATCAATAAATTAAGAAAAAATTGGTCGTTAGAGTTCGTCGGCGACTATAACTAACCTATTAATAAATTAAGTGAACCTCTCTTGCATCAATGATCGGATAAATGGACTGTGTCTGAGTAGTTGTATCCTTAGTTAGAATTTATCTATTCTTGATTTAATTCCTGCTATATTCGTACTAGTTAATTATTTATTTTTAGTTGAATTGCTTAATTGTTTTTAGTTTCATTCCGATAAAATCCCCCTTTACCAATTGGAATTTCAAAGAGACAAATATTCCCAGTCCCTGAGGAGACGACCCTGTTTGCCATTGTCTACTATTTAGTAATTTCTTGTCAACTAATTAATTCTGATATATCGGATTAAACAAACTCTTCGAGATCAGGGTGAATCAAATAACAGATTGCACACCTAGAGTCACTGCTCCAATACCTAGAATTAATTATTGACTGCTTTTAGTAGTATTTAGGTTCTATTTTTATTATTGCACAGGCTCAACACCTGTCAACGACGTCATCTGAAACATATTTGACCCGTAAAACATAATAAACGATGTCCCAAAAGAATTATCCCCACATAACGAGAGCAAAATTTCACCCATTATAAAACTACTTTCGACGGGGATTTTTGGTCAGAA